CTCCCATCCCTTCTGCATTAAGCATCTTGCCCAGCAGGTCTCACCCTGAACTTCTCCAAAACAAATTTAGATGAAATCTCAGAGCAAATTTCCTGATGGCAAGAGCAGTAAGTAGGACAGTGGGGCAAACTGCCTAGGGAAATGATGGAATCTCTTTTTTTGGGAGGTTTTCAAGAAAAAGCTGGTCAAGCATCTGTCTGGAATGGTTCAGAAATAGCACATCCTGCATGTGTGCAGGGGGTTGGATTAGATCATGGCTGTCTAACTTTGGCGTAGCTGTGAGCTACATGTTGTACCTGCATGCAGCCCCACAGCCACACACCGTGCAGGCTGCACATTGCAGATACAGCCCCTGCTTCTAGGGTCCCTTCCCACTGCATGGGTTGCAGCTGTGATGGCATGCAGCTCCCTCTCCCTGCCAGGAGCCTATGGCCTCCCTCCTTTACAAGTACATGTGGACTCTCAGTCCCTGCCCTGCTGCACAGCAGTGGGAGAGACGGGTCTGGCCCAAGGACTCCCAGTTGGACAACCCTGAGGCCGCATGTTAACTACTTAAGGGCCATGTGCAGCCTATGGGCTGCCAGTTGGACGGTGCAGGACCAGATGGCCCTTGAGATTGTATGATTCCTTCCTCCCAGGTCACCTCCTCTCCTACCTTTCTTCTTTCATCAGTAGGTCCATTTCTGACATACAGAACCATGGAAGGAGCCCTTAGCATCAGCCCGGCCTGGGCTCCCACATTTATCCAGTCTATACAAGCCAATTCATTGATACATGGCAAAGAGTTCTGCTAACCCTGTTTCTGAGGTTTGTGATGTCAGAAATGTCAAGTTCTTTTACTTTCCTGCCAAAGCTTACAAGAATGAGTCAAATGGAAGAGATGATGCAGGAGAAGGAAGAGGAACCACATGTCAAGAAGTATTGCTATTTACAAATGATATGAGTGTATATATAGGCTCTAGCCTGGATAACAAAAGCCACAGGCAAAGAAATAGTTTGTTTGGTATGTTGTTTGGGTATACCATTAATGGGAGCCTTTCCATGTAGCATTGTGTTGGTGTTTACTCAAAACCAACAACTGTAGTAACACCTACCATTTTTAGAGCACTTTTCATCAGCAAATCTAAAAGCCCTTTAAAACAAAAGCCAATATCTTTGTATCCATTCTATGGCTGGTGAAATTGGGATGCATGGAAGGGCTGTGGCCTGCTCAGAGTCCCTCAGCAGGTTGGTGGCAGAGCCAGGAATGGAACCTAGGTCTTTATGTCAGTCTTGGGCGCAGTACACCAAGCTATAATTCAATTAGACTGGAACGCTCCCAAATCAAAATCAGAAATGACTTGCCTTTAACCCTTCTCAATGATGATGTAAATGAGTGATGCCTGGAGAAAGACCCTTGCCACTATAGTATTTCTGGCAGGTTTCTGAATCGGATGAACCACCCTCTTCCATATGTTGACCGGTGGGCTATTATGAAGTGTAATTAAACTACAGCAGTGCTCGGGCATGCAGCCTTGAACACTGAAGCAGCTTTTCACAGGAGGTTTGCCCTGGGAGTACAGCCAAGGATCTGTCCTAGCTTGAAAACATGAGGCTGGAATGAGAGGGGACTTCAGCTAAATCAAATTTTGGCTTGATAGTGGAAAGCTCTTCTGCAAGAGCCTCACTAGAGGCCCGCAGCATAAACACTGGGTCATGACAACATCTGACTGAGACAGCAGCTGGAACTGCCCATTGTGTCACTTCTAGAGAATCCAGTGTTACTCTTCCTGGTTTTCTACCCAGCTTGTTGAGAGAGTTTTTACACAGGTCTGAGAGGTTCCTGGAGGCAAAAGTTAAACTTCTAAACCTCTTAAAGCTGCTTCTCATGGGAATTGAAATAGCTGCCATATATAGCATGTATTGAGGACAGGACTATGCGAGTTGCTAGATCTGGTAGGAGCAGTGAGTTGTCCATGAGTCAGGCTGGCTTAGTGACCAGGACTCTCACCTGGGACTTAAGAGAGGCAAGTGTATTTCCAAGGTCTACGAAAGATGACATAAGAATGTCAGTGTCAGACAGGGTCAGACCACAGTTTCATCCAGGCCAGTGCCCTGTACCTCACAGTGGCATTAAATGCATCCTAGATATGCAAGGTCTATCCAGACTGATCTGTCCCCTGCCCCTGTCCCTACAGCTTCCAGCATTCAGTGGTCTAGGGTTTCCTTATATGGGGCAGCACCTCTATCATGTTTAATTCCCAGCGATGGATCTTTCCTTCACAAATTTCTCTAATCCTCTTTTGGACCCGTCCGAATTATCAGCCTCCATAACATCCTGTGTCAAAGAACTTCCTTCTGTTCATTTTAATATGCTTTTGTGTGACCAGGGGCCAATCCCCCTATTCCTGAGATATGCATCTGTAGCACTGGGATCATAGCACTTTCTTACCATTCAGTGGCTCAAACAGGATGGTGGCAGGGGACATAGAAAGATCTTAAAAATATTCTTCATGCTCTTGAAAGAACACTTTTGCAGGACAGTATTAAAGTCATTTTATGAATAGTTATTACTGATTTTAAAATGCTTAATCTATGTCTCCAGCAAATGCGTAAACTACAACACAGGGAAATAGGAAGTTTGTGATGCATGGAGCTTTAAGTGGTGTCTTTGTGGGATTAGCCTCCTTTTAAGCTTTGGATCATTCTGGACTGGCCGAGTTCAAAAGACTTGTCAGGTTGTGGCAGCTGTTGGAGTTGTTTGGAGTCTGGGCTCCAGCAGGAAGCGGGGAGCAGATGCAGTTGGTAGGCAAGGAACCCTCACTGTGCTGATCATTTTCTGTTTAAATTGATTTGCTTGTTCTTGCTGCTGTCCAAATAAAATAATTCTAGGTAGACACAAAAGTTTTGGGGTGCACCATAAAGGTTCTTTGCATGCTTCTCAAAGATGCTATATACATACACACACTTTAAAAGGAGAACAGCATCACAGACACTTGGACTGGGTGCTTGCGGCTGCTGTTATATATAACTTGTGATACAAGATGTGTGTAGTATAAAACTCAATAGTTACAAACATGCCTGTCTTAAGCTTGTAACAAGAATCCTATTTGTATCCAACAGCAAAAAACCCCTCAGTCCTATGAAGTGGTTCTGAACTAATCAAGGCTATGAACCAAAAGCATGAAATGTGATGTTATAATGAAAAATGTCAAACTATAACATGACCAATTTTTTTACCTGATATCATTATGATATGCAAATGAATGACTTGATGTTGACTGGTTGGGTTATCTTTGATGTCATAATACAACCACTCAACAATGATTCCCACTACATTTTAAAAATTGAAATTGTACTTTTAATGCCAAAGCAGTAGGCACAGTTTACAGAGGAAACACAGTAACATTAAACAAGTACTACAGTATTAATTAGTGGGCAGATACATTGGATAAAGATTCAATAGTGTATTGGCTTCCAAATTGCAACCTATAGATTTTCTGCAAAGATGTGGAAGGAAGGAAAGAAAATATACGTTCAGAGCAAGATCAAAGAAGCTGCTGACTCCAGCTCCTATGTGGCTCTGAGATCAGCCTCTCCTAAACCTTCAGCGAAAGCCACTGGCCTTAGAAGTGACCTGATATTTGAGGAAATTGGTCACAGCATCAAGCAAGTTGGAAGTCAGTTGGCGACAAAAGTGAATGCAGTATTTCAGTGGGACATCACTAGCAATGGAAAGGTAGTGGTGCAGTGGACTCTTGACTTAAAGACTGGCTCTGGAGAGATCTACAGAGGTGCTTCATGCAGTCCTGCAGACACAATCTTCATCCTGTCCGACCATGACTTCATGGACCTAGTCCTGGGGAAGATCAAGCCTCAAAGGGCATTATTTGTTGGCAGGCTGAAGGTGAAAGGAAATATCATGTTAGGCCAGAAGCTGGTGATGATTCTCAAAGACCATGTTAAACTCTGATATAGAGTGGGACTGACAATGGGAAGAACCACAAAGGCTTCTGTCATACGGCAAAGTTCTTCATAATGGAGACTGGAAACAGGGAGACCATATTTTAATGCAAATTATTATTATTCAAAGTTCAAGTTACTTCACAGCTCATTTGCTCGCATTATTATTGCTACACTAAGGTGGGGATGAACAGCAGAATAAGTGGAGTCTCATTGTTCTTCACTAGAAGCTTTCATCATGCATTCTCATAGTTACTTCATGGAATATGGTATGGACTGGCATTCACATCTGGAGCATGGGATGCTAGGGGTGGGAATGTTGCAGACATCATCAGCCCAGAGAAGGCTGTGGACCTCCAGTGATCTTTGGATTAACTGGAGAAGTATTGGTGAGACAACTAACTAGGTTAATTACTGGCAGAACTCCTTAAACTGTCAGGGAAGATTATGGTTTGCTGAGAGGGAGTTGGGCTCAGGCCTTTTATCCAGATGAAGGTTACCACAACATAGAGTTGGTAGGAGGGAGGTAGTGGGTACCAGTAAATGAAGAGAAGAATGTAGAATGGGAAAGTGTGTAAAAAGAGTGATCACTCCTAGGCTAGGGACAGACATTCAAAAAGCCTGAGCCTAAATTGATTCAGTCTATACAGGTTAGTCTAACCTGGCTAGGCTGAATCAGTTTGTAACTGCACAGACATCCCAGAAATGCAGGCACATGCCTACAGTGGCTCAGGCTAGAAGCCGGGTGGTGCAGCCCTCCCTTCCCTTCCACAGGACTGGGCTGAGGGAAGTGTGGCTAGGCCCTGGCAGGACAGTGTCGTCACTATAGGTGGCACTCCAGTTTCATACAGAGACCTGCAAAACAGAGCAAGCCTTAGCCATTGAAAATGTCAGGCCTAGCAAGCGCCTGTGCTCTTATCTGTAATGAATCATCATCACTCCAAGTGGGAATGGGCTGTCTGTCTGGCAGCCTCCTGGCTGCTGTGCTGATGACTAGGACTCATACACAGCCTTAAAACCAGCTGGGCTAGCAGGGGTGAGCTAATTGCACAGCAAGTCTCCTGGTAAGCATGCAGACTGCTCTTATCTCAGCACCTTGCATTTTGACTCTGGTCCTTGCTTTTAGCTTGGTTTCCCTCTCCCTGTGCTTCTTCTAGCAGTGTCTGTGTCCTGTCCCCCCCACCTTGGCTTGTTTCTGACTGTGAGTCTCTATGCCTGGCTCTGGCCAGCCTGTTTCTAATCTTAGTGTGATCTGTGACTTCCTAACCCTAGATTCACTTCTGCCTCCTTGACCTTGGCTTGTTCCTTACCACAGGCTGAGAACCCTGTCCTGGCTCCTGCCTCTGGACTCAGGTTTTGGATCCTTGGCCTAACTACTAGGTGTGCCCATCTGCTTTCCAGTACTAACACTGAGTGCTGACGGATATAAATCTGGAGGAGTGAAACAAATTGCCTCTTTTCCTGCTGGGGACTGAACTAGTCAATAAGATGCATTGTGGAAACTTTCGGAGCAGGCATTAGCTATTATTAGCTGGAGAACAATACCAGGCCAGGTATGGCAAATCTTATATTCCAGGTTGTAGCCACCTACCCCACAACTCCATGATTTACTTCTCCAGGCTTAGTGAGCAAGTAATAGCTATTCTCCCCATAGCTGTGGTGACAGAAGAACAAACCACAGAACACCACCTGCTAATTCCTCCATTGAGCCCAGGCTGAGTTACAGAGTAGCTTTCAGAAAGATATTCATTTTCAGTGTAAAGACTGAATAATGGAAAATTCACCACAGTCTTCCGTAACTTGTTTCAGTAAAGATTGGTCCTCACTGTTAGAAACCTGTGATTTATTTTTAAAGCCAATGCTGCCCACCACGTATAATAGTGACAGTTCAAAGTGAAACATGAGCCAAAGGGTTTATTCTTTGGGGCATATTTTAAATGGCTGAGTCTTGCTTCTGACCAGTCAGTGCAGGCTCCATCTTGACTGTTGCCTCTGAATTAAAAATAGCTGGTGCCTATACATGAGCACGCAGTCTGCTCCCATGCACTGGAATTCCAGCGTGTTGGAGCAGACTCAATTAATGGAGCTTAATCGAGTCTGCTAGAGCATGGCAATTGCTGCACTTTAATTACAGCAGCTCTTGGAGGCACTCTAATTATAGCACTGCCCCCTCTCCCCACACCCTTCTTCAGCATCCTTCTTCAGATATGGACCTAAAAAGTCCTTCTTCAGATATATGGGGAGTCAAAAGAAAAACAAGGGCAACATTGGACCCCTGCTAAACCAGCTGGGGCAGCGGACTACCAACATCCAGGAAATAGCCAATCTACTTAACAATTACTCTCTGTTGGTTTTTCACCAGCCCAAAGGGACCACCCTGCCTAACAGTTCTCTGCTTTGCCACAGGCTCCTTGTATGATGCTGGGTAAGTCACTTAGCTTCTTGCTGATCCTCA